CCCGCCGGATCGCGCTCCGATCGGCTTGAATCTGCGAGGGGGGACAAAAAAACAGCAGCCGGGTCAAAATCGAGCGGCGGAATCGATCGGGCGAGTCGAGTGGGTGGAGGGGCAGGTACGTCGGAAGTGGGGCGCTCCCCTCTTGCACGCGGGTGGGGGCTGGCAACGGCGGCTTCGTCGGCGGGGCTCGTGGTCTGGAGTCGCTCGGGTGGTGGAGCGGACGGGGGAGAAGAAGGGGTAAAGCGGGACGCGGAGTTGTCGTTACCGGCCACGGAAGCAAGGAAGGTGGTATTGGTATCGGTGCGGGATTACGTGTTTGGGCGGGTCGGGCCGGGTCCAGAGCCCGGTGGATTTTAGGGGTGGCAGACCCGAGCCGAGAGTAGTCGGGCTGCGAGAATATCCGCACAATAAAAAAATGCCTGATTCTCGAAAAAAAATGCCTCAAAAATTCAAATTCAAATTTGTAAAAAAAATCGAATTTAAGAGATCTCCAAAAAATCAAATTTAAACGTTTTGAATAATAAAAATGCATGTCTACAACTCCTAGAAATTTCAAAGCTAAATTAGCAATACACATAAGAGAGATAAGAAATACATTTAAACTTTTGTAGACACATTTTTGGAAGGTACTCCCTCCGTTCCGAATTACATGGATGTATCTAGATGTATTTTAGTTCTATATACACCCATTTCTGCGACGAGTAATTTGAAACAGAGGGAGTAGTATGTGTCAACGGAGGCCTAGCTACTAATCTTTTATTTTTGCAAAAAAGGATCTTGATCTAATACAAAAACCGATGACATTTGTCAGCGCAATCTACATTAGTTATGTTGAGTCGACGCGTGGTGACTGTATGCAGGAGGAAGAAGGCTTCAGGTTTAAATGTAAGGTGCATTTTGATTCAGCACAACAGGCACAATAAAAAAATACTTCAATTTCTACGATACAAAATCACAATCACAATTTGTGTTTTTTCAATACGAGTATAATAACACAATTTTATGTCGCGTATATTGAAATATTGAACTATATTAACAAAGTAATTGTTAGTCAAATCCTTGTCTTAATGAATCAAAATATGATTTACATTCTTTTCATAGGGCACGGCACAATTGGACTACACATCTTCAAGTAAGCATTGATTGTGGGAATTTGAAGCAAACACGAACAACAAAGATCATCCATAAGACCAAAACTTCTATCAGGGTACTTCTAACTCATCGCTGATAATTTTCCGTACACATCTTTTGCGTCTTACTTTTCCCTACATGTTTCCTTACAAAAAAACTGCATAAGATCAAGCCTGCACCTGCACAAGCTGGATGGGGCTCTCGGCCTCACCCTTTGTAACCAGACTACTGAACCGCTGGTAAAATACTACTCTTGAATCTACAGCAGAGCAATATGCTGTTACTCAAGCATGCTATTTTCAGCAAATGGCAGCTTTGTTCTCCCTTCCTCATGGATTACTGCATCTGGACTTGCATTCCATCAACTAACAAGTGACAGTTTTTGATAAATAAGATTGGCATGGTCAAGCCAGTCAGCACGGGTTCTAAAACCCATAGGATTTTTATCCAGTAAAGCCAATTATATACTCCCCCCGTCCAGAATTACCTGCAGCACGAATGGATAGAAATGGATGTATCTTAGAATTAAAATACGTCTAGTTACATTCATTTCTGCGACAAGTAATTCCGGACGGAGGGTGTATTTAACTGGGACACACAATCAGTTTTTTTTTTGACATCACGGACACACAATCAGTTAGATGGGAGTGCTTGACAAAATTTCGCTGTGGTGATTTCACCGTCACAGCCTTTGGCAACCAAGGGATGAAGCTATCAACTGGAGAAGTTTGATGTCAGATCAACATATGTGATGTACAGACATTTTCATCAACTAATAGCTGGAAGGGGCAAATCAAACTTCAAAAATTATCTGCCTTTTGAGGATACATGCCAATTGTCTACAGCTCGTCATGTTCCAGCGCTTCTGCATTGTAGTGAATCATGGTCAGAAAATTCATGGTCTAATCTCCAAAACTTATCAAATGAAAGCAAAGACGCCAACCAGATTTATCATCTCCGAAGAAAAACGAAATCTCTCTAGCTGCAGATTGCGGTGAATCTGAACCATGCACACAATTTTTCTCAGAGTCCAAGCCGCACATTGCTCTAATGCTGTAATGAGAAGCGTGGTGCTCGTAAATAACATGAATTGCAAAAGCATAGAAGCAAGAGTTAGGTTCAAGCTCACTAATATGTTATGAGACATGGATCACAAACACTTGGGTAATGAAAAGGTGCAGTAAGTTTCCTATGGAACACTGATATTAGTTATTATTTATTAATATGTTTGCATTGGAGTCATCATTGATCTCACATAAGGTGTTCTCAACTAGAAAAAGGAATGCTGTAGTTCTTAACCTGTCAGGGTGTGAAGTTTTAGCCTTTCTTGCATCAGTTGGCCCTATCAAATTTCGCCAGCGTGAAATGGCATCGGGGCTTTCCAGAATCATAGCACAAACTGGACCACTGAACATCAGCACAAACAAAAACAATCATGTCAGAGGCTGCTTTGTATGCAGAGCAGATTAGCATGATAGTACTCAAATGCAAACAAGAAAAGTAAATGGAGTTCTCCCGAAAAAAATAAAAATATACCAAAATGTCTTATGGAAGAGTTGGGCAGCGCAAAGTGACAAAGTGTTCAAGAATGTTGATCAACCTCCTCATGTCACAGTTCACAACACTGTCTCCAATCTACCTTTTTGTTGCATCAGTTCAAGAAACCCTATAGTAAGGTAGCCACTATGTCTTGGCAGGAATACCTAGCCTTGAATACTCCACACCGGTTTTGGGCAACATATTCAGGTGGGGACTGGCCCCACGCACACCAAGCAATTGCCTAAAAAATGTGCTATGAGACTATGAGCCAAGAAATGTCCAATTTTGCTCGGGGCGTAATGTGGGCATGCTTACTGGATTTTACAACGAACACTCTGTTTGGTTTGGGTTGTGGGTGTATCAGAAGCGGCTGAAGGTTGGTCATTTGGAAATACGGCCGAGAGCGGTGTGAGCTGAGAAAATGTCTTAAATGCCCCTAGGGTACTCGGATGATTGTAATTTGTTGATTGTATGTTAATTACATGTTGATTTGGCTATAGATCACTGAGTTGGAACTTGTAAGTTAATTGCCTGTTATTATGTCGATTTTACTATAAGTAGCTAATTTTGCCAAAAATATTCTTAAATAATTATTTTACAATCTTTAAAAATATTGATAATGAATTTCTTAATATGTTTATTATATTACTGCAAAATGACTCCTAAGCACCAAGTTCGATTCTTCACAGAACACTCCTAATCACCTAATTTCTCTGAACCATGACATGAACAATTGTCTTTTCTAAATCGCTCGATATAAAAAAGAGATTTGTAAATCTAAAACATCACAGATTCTCTGAGCCCTTGCCACATATATCAATCATCTGATCTCCTCCGTATATATACAACTCTTCTGCCTAAAGTGTGCATGTTTTCAGAAATTAATTGATTGTATCATACCAAGAAACTGAAGAGACAAATTTAGCTCAGGAATTAGGTATTGGAACAGAGGTGGCATTAATCAAATTTCCTCATGGCCTTGGGAGGAACAAAACACACATGTCTTTAGAACAAAACACACATGTCTTTAGAACAAAACATACGGACATACCTCGTCATGTACTTCACTAGGCTGTTGAAGAAGCTTTTATCGGCATGCTCAGCGTAGAAGAGTGATGCCCTCTCTACATCCAGCTGGACAACTGCCTCTTCTATGATATCAAATCCAGACTCCAAGATGGCCTCCTTGATTTTTTCGGTGTAGTTACCAGACAAACCATCCGGCTTGATCATCGCCAACGTCCTCTCTATCTCCACAGCTTCACAGCTCCGGCACCTGGATTAATTACACACCAAGGCATACAGTTCAGACTCAGATTACACAAAACTACAGACTGTACTACAGGCATTTCCTCCCCACAACTACCTCCGTTGCAAAGCATCCCTGAATAGAAACCGGCTTCGATTAGATTGCAGTAACAAGGCTAGCCCCAAGAACGTTTAGAACAGTGATGCCCACCCAAATTATCTCAACTAAGCGAGCGTAGGGGTGGCCCGAGGATGCCGGGGATGATTACGAGCGAAATCTTGCTCAGATCTGCCACGGCAGGCATGCTAATCCGGCAAATCTAACATTTTCATGGCAAAGAAAGGCTAAGAAGCCATCCCCTCTTCAGCACTTAATTCAGCAAACGAGATCCCCAAAGGTTCACTAGAGGAGTACATGTAGAACAAGTTACGCTAACCTGTGGAAGAAGAGAACAAGAGACAGCAAGCAGATGACGAGAACTGGCGCTACCGACGAAGCTGCCCCGGCCATCTCCGGTGAGATGGGACACAACTTAGGAGAGGTCGGCGGCGGTGTTTAGTGTGTGTTTGGTTTGGGTCGGGGTGGAATGGAACAGTAGATTGAAGAGGATCAGGTGCGGCGGGGCGAGCGGCTGCTACGGCGGATCACCGGCGGCGGCAGAGGCGGAGCACCTGCTGCTTCTCCCCAATTTTTTTGGTTGATTTTTTTTTGACAGAAAACTCCTCCTTTATTCAAGCATCAAAACAGAAGCATCGTTTCCAAGCAACGGGATAACCGCACCAGAGGCAACCAGTAGTAGAACATTTAGCAAACTCACGAGCTACCACATTACTCTCTCTATTACAATGAGCATAAGTAACATGATTGAAATCTAAGGACATGAAATAACAAGGATCTATCTAGGATTCATCTAGATGTGACATAAACTGATGTTCATTCTGTTTGTGGTCTATTTTTTGTCTTTGTTTTTTTTTTGTGTCTTGTTGCTGTATTATATATTTATGGGAGCATAGATGTGACGTTTTTAAAAAACAACTAAATGTGAATTAGTCAAATTGAAATAACAATCATCGAATATGGCACTAGCAATTGATGAAGAGTAGCTCTTCATTAGAGCTTCTATCACTTCCATACTATCTGAGTTGATCTCGATTTTGCTACACCTTGTTGTACGTGCTAGATTCATTCCAAATTGTACTGCAATTGCCTCTGTTGTAAACTAGTCAAAACATATATCAATCTTTTCATTCGCAACAGCTATGAACTTGTCATTGTGGTTTCAAAGAACTGCCCCACCGTTCCTTCTAGTGTATCTACGTCAAAACCAGCATCGACATTCAGTTTAAAATATCCATACCTTGGCTTTAACCACATATTTTGTTTCAGTTTGGCCTTAGGTGTGCATGAAATAATGAAATTCGCGGCGAGTCCTCTCACAACCAAGCTTATTTGAACTGCACTTTGGACGTTCTCCCCATGTGTTAATTTTCTTCTTTCATACCACAAATACCATGCTGCACTTGCTATTGTTTCTCTCAATTTTGGTAGATCCGGGATGTGAATGTCATGGTCTTTCAAACATAGCAAGTGTTCAAGAATAACTTCTCCCGCCCTGTCCAGCAAGCAGGCCTTCCTGATGATATCATCAACACCTAATAATTTCCACAAATCTGTTGCTAACTTACACTCAAATAGCAAATGCTTGATATCATCATGACCTAGATTGCACGCAGGGCAACTAGGGTTGATTTTGATATGTTTATTGATAAGAATAGAGCAGCAAGGGATTGCACTGTGAAGTGCCCTTCAAAAACATATTTTTATTTTCGACGGGCATAGTAAACTCCACACATATTCCCAAGTATCTCTCTGTTTAGAGGACCCCACTGAATTCTGAATTTTATAGCCGTACTGAGACTTCCATACACCATGGTAAGCTGGCCGTACTATGAATACTCCTGTTCTAGTCATATTACATGCGACAAAATCGGTCATATCAATCAAAGGTAGTGGAATTGCAAGTATGTGTTGAGCATCCGCCTGTCAGAATGTTTGCCTAACAAGCTGTTCGTCCCAATCACCCGTCATAGGGTCAATGAGATCACACACACACACGTGATAGAAGATGGTTACCACGAGTAGTTAATACCTTTCTGGTTGGGGATTGCGGAGTCCATTCGTCCCATCACCAACTCTCCAAACATGCCCAATCTTCACGACTTCAACACCGGCCATAATACTTTGCCAAGTATACAAGGATTTCTTCTTCAAAGTAGCATTCAAGAGATCTCCATCACTGAAATATTTCGCTTTGAGGATCATCGCACAAAGAGAATCGGGATTATCAATAAGTCTCCACGCATGTTTTGCCAGTAAAGCCAAATTAAAATAGTGGATGTATCTAAAGCCCATATCACCTTTTTTTAATACACATATTCCACCACGCGAACTAGTGCATCCTCTTGTGAGTTGCAATATCACCCCACCAAAACCGAGATATCGCATCCGTGATTCCTTTGCAATTTTTTTAGGAGTTTTAAAGATGGACATCACGTAAGTTGGTATTGCTTGCGCAACTGACTTTATAAGGACCTCTTTCCCTCCCGTGGATAGGCATTTTTCCTTCCAACCACTCAATCTCAGAAATAGTCGGTCAATCAGATATTGGAAGCTGTCACTTTTATCAAGGCCAAGAGTAGCCGGTAGTCCTAGATATTTGTCATTCAAGGCTTTAGTCATAATATTTAGAGAAGAGCATACCTCGGCCTTCATATTAACTCCTGTACTAGGACTGGAAAAAATACTAGATTTGTCCAAACTTACTAGTTGTCCAGAAGTTGCACAATATGTGTCCAGTATAGATCTCAAATAGACTGCATTCTGAACATTGGCCTTCATCAAAACCAGTGAGTCATCAGCAAAGAGTAAATTTGTGATAGCTGGCGCCTCACGACAAACCTTGACTCCCACTAAATCTCCAACCTGCTCAGCATGAGATAGTAAACCTGTTAGTCCCTCAGTGCAAAGGAGAAATAAATAAGGGGAGAGAGGATCCCCCTGAACCCTCTGGTAGGTTTAAATGTCTCGGTCTCAACTGAATTAAATCTCACTCTGTACTCCACCGAAGAAACACATAACATAGTCATCTTGACTCATTCATCATGAAACCCAAGTTTTAACAGAATTGCTTCCAGGAACACCCACTCTACTCTATCATATGCTTTATGCATGTCCAGCTTGACAGCACACCACCCTTCCTTGCAGACTTTCTTCTTTTTGATTGCATGTATACTTTCATATGCTACGAGTACATTGTCAGTAATAAGCCGCCCAGGAACAAATGCACTTTGAGTTGGGATGATTATCTCTGGCAGTAACACCTTCAATCTTGCTGGAATCAACTTTGTAATAACCTTGTAAACTACATTACAAAGGCTTATAGGTCTAAATTGTGTAACGCTTTTCGGATTATTTACCTTTGGAATCATGACAATCGTGGTGTCATTCCATCCTTTTGGCATTACCCGAGAGTTGACTGCATTAAGAACTTCGACCACCAAATCCTCACCAAGCATGTCCCAGAACCTCTTATAGAACACAACATGCAAGCCATCTAGCCCTGGAGCATTGAAATCACCGATCGAGAAAAGAGCCTTTCTCACCTCTTCTGCAGTGTACGGCGCCATAAGAATGTTATTCATCTCTCTCATTACCCGGCTACTTACTTTATTCAACACATCCTCATTCGGTGTTTGCACCTGCGACATAAACAGATACATAAAGTAACCTTTTATGGTGCTATTCAGATCATCAATATCTTCCTTCCATACTCCTGTATCATCCAAGAGTCGCTTAATGCAATTTCTTTTTTTCCGAGCACTCGTAGTTTATGAAAGAACGATGTGTTTCTGTCTCCATGGAGAAGCCAATTGGCACGGCCTCGCTGTAACCAAACTAGCTCCTCTTGATCAAGCAAATTTTTGATAAGTACCTGTAACTCCTTCAATTTCTTGCGCACCTCAACTGTCAACGCTCCTCTCTTCAATTTCTCCATATCTTTCTGTAGCTTTTTTATTCTTTTTTTGGCCCCGTCAAAGTTTCTCTGTCCCACTTATGTAAATCATCCTTAACTGATTTTGTACGTTCCGCTAGAGATGGCCCAATACCAGCAAGTTTAGCTCGTTCCCAGGCTGTATTAACTATCTCAGCCACTATCGGTTCACTTAGCCATCTCGCTTTGAACTTCCTTTCAATTTTTTGGTTGATGGTCATGTATTCTCTGTCCAATTTTATTTTCTCAAAATGTTGCTGTCCAATGTGCCTTTTCTCTTTTATCTCTCCTATCTTTTTTACACTAAACCTACTTTATTCACATTGGTTGCACATTTACAAACATGGAAATTACAGCCACAGGGGCTGAGTCTATAAACGGGGTAAGCGCGTCTCCAACACGTAGACTAGTATCGTCTATGGACTGGTCTAGACTTGTCCGCAAATAGTGATACGAGAGCCGGTCATCCAACTCAGTCCCCCAAACGGTTGTCCCTATTTTTAAAAAAAATTGTATCACTCAAAATAAATAGCATATTAAGAGCCTGTTCGGGATCACTCTGCTCCATGGCTCCGCTCCGGGAGCGGACGGAGTTGTAGTTCAAAGTTTTTTAGAGCGGGCAAACAGCCGCTCCGCAGATACTAGGATCCGGTGGAGGTTGCTACCTCTTGAGCATGCGTTGGTTTTTCCTTGAAGAGAAAAGGGTGATACAGCAAAGCAGCGTAAGTATTTCTCTCAGTTTTTGAGAACCAAGGTATCAATCCAGTAGGAGACCATGCACGAGTCACCTCGTACCTGCACAAACAAATAAGAACCTCACAACCAATGCGATAAAGGGGTTATCAATCCCTTCACGACCACTTGCAAGAGTGAGATATGATAGAGATAATGATAATAAGATAAATATTTTTGGTATTTTTATGATATAGATTGAAAGTAAAGATTATAAAATAAAATAGATTGGAAACTTGTATGATGGAAAATAGACCCGGGGGCCATAGGTTTCACTAGTGGCTTCTCTCAAGATAGCATAAGTATTACGGTGGATGAACAAATTACCGTCGAGCAACTGATAGAAAAGCGAATAATTATGAGAATATCTAGGCATGATCATGTATATAGGCATCACGTCCGTGACAAGTAGACCGACTCCTGCCTGCATCTACTACTATTACTCCACACATCGACCGTTATCCAGCATGCATCTAGAGTATTAAGTTCATAAGAATAGAGTAACGCCTTAAGCAAGATGACATGATGTAGAGGGATAAACTCATGCAATATGATATAAACCCCATCATTTTATCCTCGATGGCAACAATACAATACGTCTCGTTTCCCTTTCTGTCACTGAGATTGAGCACCGCAAGATTGAACCCAAAGCTAAGCACTTCTCCCATTGCAAGAAAGATCAATCTAGTAGGCCAAACCAAACTGATAATTCGAAGAGACTTGCAAA